AAAAAAAAAAAAAAGAATTCAAGCTGAAGATTAGGTTCCCTAATCACATCTAAGACAGATTTATAGTCAGGTTGGATGAGAGTAATAGTAATACAATATTACTTGCCCAGCTGATGGGTTGGTAGTTAAGGCACTGGATCCCACATAGACAACTGCCCTGTTTAAGTCCTAGACCCAGTGGTTTGAAATACATGCCCACATGTATGTAAGGCCCCAAAATCCCAAAAGGAGAATGGAGAAGGGATTGTGATGTGACCATCCCCAACCCCCAGAGGTTGCTTTCTCTCTCTGTGTGGCAGGTGCACGTGCCCTATAGCAAATTAGATATTTACATACATTATATGACCACCTTGTAGGTTATTTTGAGGGGTGTGCCTGGCACAGATAAATGCTATATAAATGTCAGCTATTTGTATTCATTCTTGCTCATTCTTTAAGGTCCCTCATGAAAAAAGCTCTTAGGAATACACATTGAAAAAGACAAATGGTACCAGCAGGTGGCATGGTGGTTGGGGTGCTGGACTCTTCCATGTGGTTGACCACGATTCAAGTCCTGGACCTGGTGCTTGCTTTCTCATACCCCCCCCATGGTCATATTAAAATAAACAAATGAATAAATTAAATTAAATAAATAATTCTTGTTAAAAAAATATTTTAATAAAAAGACAAACATTAGTAGATGAAAGTTGGTCCAGTCTGAGGATGTTTTGCAGTTAACCTTTGAAAATAAACTCTCAAAGAATACAACTACAGGTACTTAGTTCTTATGAATCGTCACCTTTGCTCATTTAAAAGTCACATATGTTTCCCATCCACTCCACAGAATGCTCCTTCGGACACCAGTGACAGCTATTTTAAATTATTTTATCAAGCACCTGTCAAAACTGAGGTTGAGACAACCTCTACCTCACGGTTCCGAGTGACTCAGCGTTAGATTATTTTAGTTCTATCCAGAACCAGAGTTATCAATGTAATTTCCATTTCTTCAGTAACAAACAGAAATGCCTTTCTAGAAGCATAATACACTTGTGTCTTAGTGTAAGTTAAGAGATTTACAAGAAATCTCCTGAGTACTTTATAAAACTTTTATTATCATTGTTCAATACCCCTATTAAATACATGCTTTACCCTTTGAGTTCAAAATTAGGAAAAAGATTTGTTTCTCCTGACAAATTCCTATGCTCGGATCGGGAACTAACTCATCATATTCAAGCTTAACTTGACTTCCAGGAAGCTGGGAGCTAAATTTAAAACTAATTATAAAAACCGTCCTTCTGAGTGGTTTGGTTTGTAATTACTGTCATGATTTTGAAATAGGACTTACTTTTATTCCTAATTTAATGATTTGATTCCCCAATTTTAACCAAGATCTATGTGTCTTAGTTAAAACTGCCTCGAATGCACTGGAAGTGGGCAGGGTAATGAATAATAAAATTATAACAAGGCACCCCACACACAATGCACAGAAGTACAGGCTAGGGAAATTTGCACTCAAGGGTATCTTTTTTAGTTTTAGGATGATTTTATTCAAGCAAACGCATGTGTACACACACTGCACAGGAGAGGAGCAGGACCCCTTGGCAGGGCTTGTCACGTCAGGATGTTCGGTGCACAGACCCAGCATGTTTCAGGTCAATCCAGGATCGGAACCCGCTGTCCACGTGGCTTCCAGCACCGTAGTTCAATGCGCTACCATCTGTGCCACGGAGCCTGAGCCAACAGTCGTGGTATTTTGACTGTATTTCAGATCAATTTTAGTCCCCAAACTCAGCTGAGAACTGGGGACAGTGTAAAATGTGAGACTTACTATCTGTAAAGATATCTTTAACGGATGTCTGTTGGAATAAAAGAGAAAAGCAACTAGCTAGCTGGCAAGAGAAAATAGTCACCTTCAGCACTCAGGATTATTTCCTAGAAAAACATCATTTCAAGTTTTTTTTTCTGAAGAGGGGATGGTGATGGAAGGAACTCCAATTGGTAGCCAGTGGGTCAGAAGTCCCAGAGGCCTGGACTTGCAACTTGTATCTGAAGTACAAGGCGATCCTGTGGCACTGAGCCCTCGACCTGTGGAGTCCGAACGGTCCGGGTAGAGAGCATGAGAACCGAGTGGATCAGAGGATGCCCAGCCCAGAACCGCTTGCCTGCTACTGAGGAAATAGCCCCATGCACTTCGGTATCACAGAAGCAATCTGTGTTGTGAGTTTATAGCAAGAGAAATTAGGTTTCCTTTTTTTTAAAGAATTTTTTTATTTATTCATTCATTTTAAAAATTTTGACCAGAGAGAGACACAGAGAGAAAGACAGGGAGGGAAAGTGAGAAAGCAAGCCACCAGGCCCAGGACTCGAACCATGGTCAGCCATGTGGGAGTGTCCAGCGCCTTAACCACCATGCCACCTGCTGGTCCCTAGGTTTACTTTTTATGTTCACAAAAGGTACATATATTCATTCATTATTTGCTGAGGCATCCTTATATAGCTCTGGAACTACTGTATAATAATATTGAAAACCTAAATCTGAGGAACCATAACAGGAAAGAAAGAGTTAATTAAATGTATCAATATCTAGCCTTCTGGGTGACTTATCTTATTGAAAGCAAATTCTTCTGTATTTTAATAAAGATTGGAATCAGCAGACAGCATAATGGTTATGTCACTGGACTCCCACAAGGCTGACCATGGTTCGCATCCCAAACCTGCTGGCTTAAAACTCATGCCAGGTGGATGTGCATGTGTGCTCAAAATCCTGAGAGGAGAATGAAGAAGGGATTGCAGCATGGCCATCACTCCTAGGGGAAGGGGTGGGTGTGATTTTTCACTTTCTATCTCTGTCTCTCTCTCTCTCTCCAGAAAGCACACTCACCCTATAGCAAAAATCCCTCTTAAAAAAAAGATTAAAATTATGTAAAATATTTAACACAGATTAAGACAGTATACGGTATTTAACAAAGATTAAAATAGTGTAAAGACTAGAAGAACAGATAATAAAGCTTCTCTGAATTGCCGCACTTACTACAGCACTCATGGATTTCCTGCAAATCTTTCTTTATATTAAAAAGGAAAAGCTTCTGGATCAGCAGGTGGTGTGGTGGTTAAGGTGCTGGACTCCCACATGGCCAACTGTGGTTCAAATCCCAAACCTGGAGGCTTGCTTTCACTTCCCCTTTCTCTCTTTCTCTGGTCAAATTTAAAAAATAATAACAACAAATAAAATTAAACAAATGAATCTTTAAAAAAACGTAAATGCTTCTCTATTACACTTAGCTCCTAAATTATACTTAGCTTTCTTCAGCAGCATGTTAATTTGGATGACTACTGAAGTTCATTGATTCTTTCAATATTTATTAAACACCAACTATGTGCCAGGTCCCATACTGGGGACGGTGGATACAAAAACTACAGACGTGGGGGGCAGGCAGGTGGTTATGGTGCTGGATTCCCACATGACCGACCATGGTTCAAGTCACAGACCTGGTGGCTTGACACTCGCACCGGGTGCATGTGTGCGTGCCCAAAATCTTTAGACAAGAATGGAGAAGGGACTGTGGAGTGGCCATCCTCACTGGGGGGTTGATTTCTCTCTTTCTCTCTGTCTTTCTCCAGCAAGCACACCTGCAAGTAAACATACTCTTTGGTAAAAACCTATAACAAAACAAAAACAGAAACAAAACAAAAACTAGATGTGGTTGTACTCCTTCAAGAGCTTAGAGTCCATCTGGAAAAGCAGCAGATTGGAGCCAGTGAGCTGTGTGGATACGTGGGGTGTACACAGGAGGCTCCCATCCGGGGCTGGGTTATGGCTGAAATCTCGGAGAAACCCCCACTGAGGAGGCTGGGGAGGTGTGAAGTCAGCCAGATGGAGGTGCCAGCCAGCAGAGAGAACGGCATACCAAGGAAAGGAGTCGAAGACCATGGTGTGTTTGGGAACTACATTCACTGGTGAGGTTCAAGAGAAGGACAGGAGTCAAGGTGGGACAAGATTTAAAGCTGGAGAGAAAGATGCGTGACTTGACGCACCTGTAGTAGGTCCAAGAGAGATGACCAGCAGGCAGATGGACCTGGAGACCTGGTCTTCTGGAAAGTGGTTGGGGTCAGAGAGACATTTGAAGGCTGTTGTAGTTTCTAACGTTTGCTGTACCAAGTCAGCACCAACTTAGTTTCTTACAGCAGTGCAACTTCATTCTGGAAGTCATAGAACAAAACGAGTCTCACTGAGCTCATTTCAAAGTGTTAGGGCAGGCTGGTCTCTTCCGGAAGCTGTAGGGGAAAATCCTTTACCTTTCCAGATTCTAGAGGTTGTCCATAATCCTTGGCTCTGAACCGCGCTTCGTATTACCTTTTCTCTCTTTCTCTTAATTCTTTTTTTTTTTTGGAGAGGTTTTCACTATAGGGCGC